GGAGATTGTGTTTTCGCGTACCACACCGGACCAGAAGCTGCGCATCGTGCGCGAGTTCCAGGCTCGCGACAAGATTGTGGCGATGACGGGCGACGGTGTCAATGATGCTCCGGCGCTCAAGGCCGCTGACATCGGAATCAGCCTTGCCACTGGCTCGGATATTGCCATCGAAGCTGCTGATATGGTGCTTCTGGACTCCTTCAGTGCCATTGTCGAGGCTGTACGGTATGGTCGGCTGGTGTTTGATAACCTCAAAAAAGTCATTGCGTATCTGCTTCCTGCTGGCTCGTGGTCCGAGTTCTGGCCTGTTTTCACGAATGTGTTTCTGGGACTTCCTCAGATTCTCTCATCCTTCCTGATGATCATCATTTGGTAAGCACAACAGCTGCACTCTCTGCATATCTAACTGGTCACTCATGCTAATACCGTATAGCTGCTTTACCGATTGTATTGCAGCTATTGTGCTAGCCTATGAGAAGCCAGAAGCAGACCTACTTTTGCGACCCCCTCGTGATCTCAAGACAACAAAGTTGGTCAATTGGCAGCTGGTGTTCCACTCTTATGCCTTTATCGGCACAATCGAGGCCGTTCTGTCGTTCTCCATGGCCTACTGGTACCTTGAGCGCAGTGGCATACCCTTCCGCGACTTGTGGTTTGGGTTCGGCACATTGCCCGAAGGAGTCGACCAAGACTACTACACACAGCGTCTCAACGAAGCAAGTTCCATCTACTTTGTCAATCTGGTGGTGATGTAAGTGTCCTCTGCGCGAGGCTCCAGTGTGAACCTCTCACCAAAGGCAACAATGCTAACGTAGTCTTGAAAGGCAATGGTTTACCCTCATGTCGGTTCGCACCCGCCATCTCTCCATCTTCCAACACCCTCCAGCATTCAACAAGCAGACGCAGAACCTCTTGCTTTTCCCGGCTATACTTCTCAGTCTTGGCTTTGCTGTCATTTGGTTATACCCGTCGTCTCTTCAGATCGTGTTGAACACATCGGGGGTACCTATCGAGCACTATTTTATCCCGGCGGCATTGGGACTCGGTATCCTGTGTTTGGATGAGGGCAGGAAGGCTGCTGTCCGTCGCTGGCCTGGCGGCTTGCTTGCCAAAATGGCGTGGTAGTTTGAGCTCGATTCCAGGTCGTGTTCTGCCTTTGGAGCGTCCTAGTGATGACTAAAGAGGAATATGACCAGAGAGCTAGTTGGAAGCCGGCCATTACAAAAGATGGTCGATTACAGCTCCCTTGCTCATGGGGTTTGGACGATGACTGAATAAAGGGAATCCACTTACCTAGAATACTCCATGAACTCTTTTACAACCGGCAATTCAAGTCGGGCTTGATGTGATCCGGCTCAAAGAGTGCCTCACGGTGGTCTTGACTCTGTAAACTCGGAATAATGGCACCACTTGACGCACCATGTGACTGGCGTTCGGCGACGGTGATGTAATAGACTTCTGAAGAATTGATGAAGTGCATGCCATTTGTAACATCTCGCAGCAAGCGCACGCGCTTTGAGGAAGGTCGTATCACGGTGGCAAACGGCTCATGGAAACTTCTCACAAAGTGATTGAAACCTCGGAAGGCCACGACGTACGACGCGAAAAGTCCGACTTGGCTGTAGGGGCCAGTCGCTCGCAAACACAGCCTGGAGATAGACAGGACCTATAGTGCATCTATGGTCTTCACGAGGAGCCAGCTAGCAAGACAACGACATCATGTTCTAAAACAGGAGTTGGAATGTGCGAGCCGAGGCTCTCTTCCAAGTGCTCTGATACGACACACAATTGCCTTCCGGGCAATAAAGCCTATCTCCCAAGCACTCTAGTATCGGAGACTACTTGTGCTACATGACTGGCAGCTGCCAAGACAGTAATACGGCACTTGGTGCTTGGCTGCATTGAGGCTCTAATATCACCTCGTGGCTCAATATGGCCTTGTAGACTCCTCCTTCGCAGTTCCCGGCGTGCAAGACAGCCTCGATGCTCGGCACTTGAAAGTGTCACACGACCCGTTGGTGATCAAAGATTCAACCCACATATGCATAGCGCTTACAAATATCGAGTCATCTGCAGATTGGACATGGAGAGCACAAAACAAACCAAAGTCTAGATCGTGAATCGGGTTCGCGGGCGTTTCACCGGGCCGCAGACTGGAGATAGCATCTTCCGATGTAGTGCAGCCGTGGGTCTCGGCGCTGGAGATGAGCAGGCTCCAACAAATGGGAATCAGCGAGAGTGAGGGCATAGCCGTTATCGTCCATGCGGTGCGATGGTGATCCAACACGAAGCAGGGTCCAGCCAAAACCATCACCATGACCCTGCAGCAGAACGCTGACAAGCAAGCCGTGCTATCCAGTCCGAGTATGTGTGGCAAGTTCCGAGGGATCGTCCAGGCATACCAGGCGCCCTCTTCGCGATCTCGATGCCTATATAGGCGCTTTGCTGTTGATGATGCCAGCCAGATGACCCAAAGAGGCAGTTGTGTCGAAGCAGATTAGAAACGTCGTACTGCGATCCTGTGGAGTGCATAGGAACAAGCTTTTGCGGATCGCCCATGCAGGGAGCCGCAAAAGAAGCCTTGTGCAACGGCCAGGGTGCGATCCTGGCAGGATATAGGCCAGGCAGAAGGCTGCGGCTTGTACAGGATACTGAGCGTCGGGAATTATCACTGTTGGAGCCGATGTGCCCTGCATCATCCCCGTATACCACGTCCCCAGCCCCCGTTCGACATCGTGGCAACCACAGCCTCCAGGGTGCCGATTCAGGAAGCTGGTGGAGGCAGCAAGCGGCCCAGCGAGCGAGGCCCCGAGCCAGCTCCCGCTTTGGGAAACAAGGCGTGTGAAGCTATTCAGAGTCGGGAAGGTCGACCAGCTTCGCCACCCCCGTCGCCATCGCACAAGGCTTGCTGACCAAAGGCCAGCCCTGGCCTCGACGATGCCTTCCATCTGCACTTCGTAGAATTATTTAAAGCTTGGCATTGCTTGGCTCGGTGGGGGTGGTCAGAGACGTGTTCTGCAGGCCGCCCTCACTTCCTTCATTTGACACTCTATATTCACTCCTCGCCTTTTTTTTATAACCCAAAAACCAAATCCGCCAAGATGAGACTCACCGCCGTCGCCAGTGGCCTGCTCCTTGCCGGCAGCGCCATCGCCGCGCCCTCGGGCCTCACCCGCTCCGAGAAGATGGCCAAGAGCCGCGCTGCGCGCCGCCACTCGATGCCCAACCGCAAGATCGAGTCCCCGGCCGACCAGCCCACCAACGACACCATGGTCTCGTACTCGGAGAACTGGTCCGGCGCGGTCCTCGTCGGCACTGGCTACACCGCCGTGACCGGCAAGTTCACCGTGCCCACGCCCTCCACCACCGGCTCCGGTGCCGCCTGGGTGGGCATTGACGGAGACACTTGCTGTACGTCTTTGAGCCGCTTCTCTGCGTCTTGCCACGCACTCACTCACGCACGCACGCACGCACGCACGCATCCATCCCATCCTGCATCCCTCCTCCGTGCCTGCTCATCGCTCCTGCTTCCGCGCTCGCAGCCCACCACTCCATGCCCTCCAGTCCCCCGTCTAACTAACCCTCCCACCCTCCACAGCCACCTCCATCCTCCAGACCGGTGTCTCCTGGACCAAGGGCGCCCTCACCACCTCGTATGAGGCTTGGTACGAATGGTATCCGCACGTTTCGATTGACTTCACTGGGATCACGATCTCTGCGGGCGACTCGATCCAGGCGACGGTGTCGGCGACGAGCGAGAAGGCCGGCACGGCGACGGTCGAGAACCTGACGACGGGCGAGACGGCCACGCACACGTTCACGGCCGAGACGGACGAGCTCTGCGAGTACAATGCCGAGTGGATCGTCGAGGACTTTGAGGAGGGCGACTCGCTCGTCACCTTTGCCAACTACGGCTCGGTCGAGTTCACCGACGCCGAGGCCACCCAGTCCGGCTCCACCGTCGACACCAGCGGTGCCACCATCATCGACATGCGCACCGGTCTCCTGGGCAGCGTCGAGTCCAGCTGCACTGCCACTGGCACCACCGTCAGCTGCACCTACGGCTAAATCAGCGCCATCCATCCTGGGGCAAACACTGAGCACTCCTGGCGAACCACAAGCGGGGGGGCTGGCTTGGTTGTTTTTGACGGGCTTGGGCACGCAGAAACTCACGAATAGCCCCGAGGTCTGCATGACCATGGCTTCTCGCAGCCGGACCTCGGCGCTATCTGCATCTCTTCTCTTCTACATGTGCACATTCTTTTTGAGTGACTATTTTATGTATTTAAACACTTTGTCGGTGGTAAACCCTGCCGTCAGATATTTAAATAAGAAACATCATTGGACATATACTGCTGTCTGCTTGTGTGCTTTTCCGGGAGACGCCAGTATCAACTGACATTGATATGCATTTAAACCTCGCTCTTTCGCTGCTGAGGTTGTTGCTCGAGAAACGTAGGAATTGGCAGTCTGCAGTTTGATCGAGCGGTCAGTGCTGCCAACACAAATGTTGCCAGCAAAAAGCACCAAAAGGCTGCAGTATATGTTGTCGTTGGCGTTGCCACTCATGAGATGGACGCACCAGTCCTCATCTCGCAAATGAGAAAAACCGACGCGATCAGGATTCCAACCTGCGATTTATCAACCCCCTCCCCCAACCTTCCATCTCGCACTTCGATGCTTTTGCCACACAATGCTCCTACAACACCTCCCACAATAGCCAGAGGCCCAGAGAATCATATCCACAGTGCATTCAGCTGTCTGCCTTCCAGACACAATATATAACTTTTAATCGACACGATCGGGTCTCGAACCTGGACCTATCCCATCGCGCCGCCTCCCCTGACCACCAAACCTCTCCGTTCCCCTATCCTACCAACATCTTGCCCCACAACGACTCCTACGATGCATCCCACGATAGCCAGAGGCCCAACAATGCATACCCACACCTTATCCACCGTTGTCATGGAGCCCATCGGGCCCAAAAAGAAAAAAAGAACCGACGTGACCAGGATTTGAACCTGGGCCTCCGAAGAGAATAGATTACTAAGCGGAGCTATTGAGCCCGTTCGAGTCTATCGCATTAGACCACTCTGCCATCACGCCCTGGTTTGAATTGTTGAAATGAAGGTTGCCAGAACTAATTATATACGGAGGCATCACCGTTTCGAGTTCTACTGTTGTTTTGCGAGTGAGTCTGACTTTTGAATGATATTGATGGTGATGGTGAGTCGAAGGCCAGCCTGGCAGAGTCAAGAGCTCCACTCGCATGTTATTCCCCACGTCGTTCTTCATGTTTTTCCTCATGTCCGTTGGCCAGACAGGCGGAACCCGCTCCTTTCCTCCGCCCTCCCCTTCCACTCCCAATAATGCCTGCCCAGAAACTGATGTGCACTCGTGCTAGCATGGCGATCCCCATACAAAGCTATGTTGATAGTTGAAACAGGAAGGAGGTACGTACTCCCCGGCATTGAGCCCGTAACAGCACTGCAGGCTGCTACCGCAGGAGACAAGAGAGTCTGTCTTAGGTTGGCATCCGCTGAGAAATCAAGCCCAAGTACAGAAGACTGTCCCAATCGACGAAGAACCAAAAAAAAAA